AGTTTTTTGATAAGTTGAAGATAAATGGAGTGGCATTTGGTCCATATTTCTCCAGGGTGATGTTGTGCAGCTCCTTCCCAAGGGACTCTTGTCACAGATCACATTTGGGCAGTAACTGAAAGCTTAGCTCCAAGTGGCATTACCAAGAATTTTTTGCTGCATTACATTATATCCCCCAAGGTGCAGGAGAACACTACTTGCAAGTTTGATGAGTAGCGTGCATTAGAAAAATTAAGCCATTAAATTCTCATAAGCTTTTCAATTTTTAATGTTATAAAACTCTAGAAATGCTTTTTGTACCCAGGGCATGCACCAGTTAGCACAACAGCAAAGCCTGACCCTTCCTATTCAAGTCTCTTCCTAATGTCTCAGGCTCTCTCCTTCCTTTATTTAGAAACATCCTTATTGTGGGTCCTTATAGCTCAGGCTAATTTTATTAAAAGACACAAGTGGCCCTCACTGAGAAGGATCTGCACTGAGAAAAATACCTGCTTGCTATTTTCTGTAAGATGCATCTTGTTCTGTACCTCAGAATATTTTTCACTACAGTTCCAATTTCAGCTCATATTTCTTTTCTTTGTAACTGAATACTGGCATCTAAGATGTCTTTCAGAACAATCTGTTGACCTTTTCTATGAATTTATTACAATCAAAACCCAGTAGTTTTAGACCCTGTCCACACTGAGTTACATTTGTGGGTTTCTAATGATTGTAGTTTACAGCCTTTCAAACCATCATTTTCTTTCTCGGCTGGTAAATGCCACCTAGCACAGCCTTTCCACCAGGCAGAACGAAAATTCTATTTTTTGGCTATTTCTGTTGCTTTCAGTCAATTTCTAAGAACTGAAAACTTTGTAACACACAGGCACAGATTGACTCTAACACAGAATGCTATGAAAACCTCTTGTTTTACTTGTTTAGCAAAAGAAAAATCTCCAAATGCTCCAATTTGTGCCACAAAAGTGGACAAACAGAAATGTACAGAACTGGATTGGCAGATGTCTCTGCCTTCATGTGAACCTGGCTGAGGAACTCAAATATATGTGCAGAGATCAATTAGTACCCATTTTCCTCTCTGTAATTTCACCCCTCAATTAGTTATTTTTTCCTAATTAAGCATAGCTATAATATGCAGATCCTCCCCAACATCACTCAATAAACAATTTAATCCTCACTATTTAAAAGATCTTAATATCACAAAAGTGAAATCAGAGACTCAACAGACAGACCCCCCCACAAGCTACAAATAATCAGGATGGTTGATATTAACACACTTCTGCCTCATGAAGTACTGTTTCAGAAAAATAACCAGCTTCCCAGTGCTGTTTACACCTTCTTAGGCAGTTTATAGCAGAAGCCTGACACACTGTCACTACACAAATAAATTTTAGTTGCATGTGTTTTATGTACAGAACAGACTTATGAATAAGAGTATAAGACTTATGAATAATAGTAGCTTCACAAATTTCAATCTGGTTGAGCCTCCCAAGCCACCTTTTAAAAATCAAATATATTTCATGTCACATTTTTATTAGCAAAGAATTTCTTGCGCTGTCACATTATTCTTTTGTCAAGTTAGTTTATTTTTCTCTCAAGGTTTCTTCAGAGTAAAGCAGTATTGATCAATGTAATGTCATTAACCCCAGAACACAATGTGTTAAATAATTCTCATTGTGCACATTCCATGACAAAATTGATGTAAAAACAATAATAAACGCTCAGCACAGGAGCTGGTTAAAGTATCTGGAATTTTAGGCTCACATGCTTTAATCCTATAACCTAGACTGCCTCTATTTTTATGTGAGCTTACCATGCAAATTATTTTATTTGCTATTTGCAATTGCAAAATAAATCTACTTATGTACTTCAGAGCTCTAGAACTCAATTTCAAAACTCAAGAGTTCATATTAAATAGGAAAGAACCCTCACTGACTGATGTTTGAGAGCCCAGAGAATATTTTGGGCAAGCTTATGAAAATGCACCTTTCCCTTTCTTTCACCCTGCCCTGAATGCATTTGTTATGCCATGTTTTCCTTTCTTATCTTACAGCTTCTGCATTCACATATTCCTGCCACACTCCAAACTCTTCCTTAAGATTTTACTCCTATGAGGATGTTCAAGGAATTCCAGCCTGCAGATTCTGCTCTGCACTTCCTGTGCCCAAAGAATGTGAAGCAGAACTGGGACACAGAAACAAGAAAAGTTGATGCTATTTATGATGTCTTATATTTTACTAATGGGGAGAATGACAAATATGACTATAAACCCTGAAAGCATTCCTAAGGATGTAGTGAATTAGTGTGCAATGCACATTAATCCCAGCAGACATGGTTTAGAAAAGGAAACTTAAAGCTAAGGTGAGTCCTACAGAGACACTCTGCTCTCTCCAGTTCTGACCAGACCTCAACAAGTATCCCAGAGCCCTAGACCCATCTCTGGACAGATGGGAACTAAACATGAGGCACAGGAAAAAGCATCTGTGAACTGCCATTCAGAAATAAAGTAATTTTGATTCAGCAAAATAATTTGTAAGGACATGCAACTCTCTACAACCTGCCAGACTGAGTCCCTCTGAAGGCCCCAGAGAGAATAAACAAATACCTGCTTCAAAGAGGTAGCAACTCAGCTATAAAAATTGTTAAGGATACAAAAAGCACAAAAGATTAATACAGATAGGGCAGGCAGAGTAACAGCAAGCAATGAGGAGTAGTTTACTCATGTGTAGGTTAATCACAGTCAAGTTTTTGTAGGCATGAAAAATCCAGCATTTTAAGAAGAGTTTCAGAAGAGGAAAAGTAAGCAATACAGATGTTCATGCAGCTTATGTCTGAGATGAAACACACTGAGTCAAATGTGGGCTGATTCCCTGTCAAATGAAAGGCTACAAAACTCTTTAGTGGCAGTATTCTGAAGAGGTACAAACCAGGCCAGACCACAGCTGCTGAAGCCAAGGAAATGATGTTGCAATAACCAAGATGCAAAATCACTGACAGCTTGGATGAAAGCTCAGCAGGATGCAAAGACAGGAAAAGCTGTCATGCAGACAGAGTTGGCAGGATTTTGATAGGCTGGATGGAAGGACAGAGGAAGAGCTGTGAGCTGAAGGGAACAAGCAGGTTACTCATCCAGTGAGGAAGCAGCACAGCAGCTGGATGGGACAATGCAGGAGCCCTTGGGCAGATGAGGAGTTCCAGGTTAGCAATGTTTTGTTTAAGGCAAAGCAGAGATGAGGGGACATCAGAGGTGCACTGAGATCGTAGGTTGGTCAAAAGTGATGAATGTAGAGCACAGAAGCAGATTTCCAACACTTCTTATTTTATTAATTCTATTAGCTTTGCCTAGACAACTACTTAACCATTGCAGAAAGGCTGGGCTTTACACTGAACCAGTGGCTGAAGCTCTCTTGGAGCTACCTCATTTGACACAGATTGCTCAGCAGATTTCCACAGCTCATTAATATTTTCTGCAAGTTAACTCTCAGCTCAGACTGGTGGCTGTACTTCAGTGTCTCCTGTTACAAGGTTTCTACCACTGCCTTTTCACACTTTTTTCTCTACATGATGCCCCTCATTTTCAAGATGCTTCCATCTTCCAGTAGCTAACAACAAGAGCTGCAATTTCTGATCCATCCACAAGGAACATTTGGATGCAGCAATAGGAATCTGAAAAGACTGAATGGCAATTCAGAATTCTGGTTTCTGCATTTGTTTCTTCATCCCCTCTGCTTGGAAAAAAATCAGCCATGTATCAAGTTAACATCAATTATTTCCCTAAACTCGAGTTTTCCTGCAGTGGATCACACACCCCAAGTTAAAAAGCCTGTTGTCAGCCCTTACTGTTTGTCAAGCTTGCCCATAGAAGTACACAACCACAGACACAACCACAGACACAGACACTAATTAACAACATTCCATTGCGCCACAAATGAGAAATGCCAGGAGATCGACCTGCACCCTGCCCTGCTCCTTACACAGCTCCCACTTCACGAGCACACATGCACACAGACAGCAGGCAGACAACAATATACAGAGAAAATGAATGGGTCTCTAGTGTTTCAGATTTACCTACAACCGTGTCCTTCCATCAGAACTTTAAGAGTGTTTTGCTTCTGGCACTAGCATTAGCAATCCCACAATACAGACTGTTAAGAAAAACGTTGCTCAACATTAGAGATAGTTAGAAACAGAGAAAAATATGGGTGCTTCCCAGGAGCACTCTGCAAATTAGAAGATATTTTACAAACTGTGCATTGCATAGCTGCTGCCAATGGGTTATGCAAGTCTCTGACCAAAAACTTAAAAAAACACCCAAACTAAAAGTGAATATCCTGATGAAAAGAAGAATGTGTACATCTCATGTATTAGAGACACAAACTGAATTTGAAATAAAGGACATGCATATGGAAAGTGCAAATATCTGAGGGGCGGTTGAGGGGAAAGAATTAAATGCAGATAAAACTCTTACTGGTGAAAATAACATTTGAAATTAATTTTATATCCAGACTATCCGGTTCACAGTCCTTTCACTCCTACTGTGGGAAAATGGGAACTGGAAAAAAAAAAGTCCCACCAAGGAGGCTCTTTCTTTCCCTCCTTTTTCCTTTTTATTTTTTTTTTTTTCAGACTTTAAAAGTCTGTGATATAAGAAAGTAACAAAACAAAACTTTGTCCAGTATTTTAAACTCAACTTCCCCGAGGGTCTCAAAACTGCATCTGTTCCATGTGCAGCAAATTCAGCAGGAATACATTGTCCAAGATGACTAAAATATCAGAGTCTGCAGTGAGGGACACCAATATATAAAAGTAAATAGTAAGAAAAAGGTATTTAAGAGGTGAAGACATACAACCTACAGCTACTGCTTGGTAGAGTTAATTCTTCTTTCAATGTTTCTAGATTGCATTTATATAGTTTATACTAAATTGCCCCAAATACATTTTATCATTTAGCTTATAAACTAGGGCTTTAAAGGGACATTTCTACATTCAGCCTGTAATATTACCTTGTAGGCAGCTTGTCTCATAAACTGCTTTGCAGGCTGCTTCCAAATAGCAGGCACTGTAATGACCCATCTTACTTCAGTGTTTTCAAAGTCTGAGCCTCCTTGGTCACTGAGCTCCTAAAAAAGGAAAAATAAATAAAAAGGAAAATAGAGGTGAATGTAAAATGATGGGTGTCTACAGGAAAAACATTCTTTTCTGCTGCTCTGATAACAGTAACCCTCTTTTCAATTTTTTCTTGTTACATCCATGCTACAAATCAGAATTACTTCCAACCTGCTAAGAATGCTTTACTGTGCCAAAAGGTGGGGTTAAGGTTGAAGCTTTCTCAAGGAGGCCTATAGAAAAGTTTACTGCTCAAAATAAAGTAGAAAAAGTTGGCTTTTGCAAAAGCAGCAATTTACAGAATATTACAGCATGTTTATGTACATCCTTAGCCATGGTGTAGGATTTGCTGTTAGCTTGAAGAATTCACACTCACATCTTGATTAATACACAGAAAACTATTTGGAGTATCACTGGTGAACATTTATGTTTTACAATCTGGATTTTTCAATGACTTCCTTATACACAACTTACCTTTAAATCAAACTTTTATAATGCAGTTAACAAGGGGAAGTTACAGTTAACCCCTTTAAAAAAATGACTGATTGGTCCTTCAAAACTTTGGTTTAAGCAAACATTCAAGGCTAGTTTAATATTTTTATTGTACTTTTTTTCCTCCCCTTAAAAAAGAGGAAAGTCTGTACTGCATTTGAAAATTAGGTGATATACTGACATGTTTTGGGCAAGGTTCCAAGTAAAATGTCATTACCATATGTCCTATCTAAATCTCCATCCAAACAGAGAAAGGTTCAGAAAGGTGGACAACAGACCTTTATAATGTAAAAAAAAAAAAAAAAGTTACTGCATATGCTGAGCCAAGGTGTTGTGTTTGTTTAGCTATGCTGCAGTTCAAAAATCCATGCTGGAAAAGGAGCACCTTTATACTGCACAGGGCACCACAGACAGACACAGTACAGTGCAAAGTAACAGCTCACTTACATGGCATGTCTAATTAGCTCCAGGATTCACTCACAAATGCCAGGGATTTAGTTATTAACATCAGGAAAAGGATGTAGCCCTGAGCAGGCAGCACAGCAAATATATGGGATTTTATCCAAGGTTCATATTTGCTAAGAATGTCCCCAGTTTACACACAGGTCCAAGTCTGTGACTCCACAACCAAACCAAAAAAGTACAGTTAAAAATGTCTCTGACAAAATGAGGCATTTGAGCTGTAGTGGCAGGATTGTTTCTCTGCAGCCATAAGGAATAGACTGGGATCTCAGAGAAAATAAATTAAACCCATTCAAAAAAGTAGGTTAGCTTTTAACCACAAGGCTATTTTAAACAACACTTGCTTGGATGAATACTCTGATTTGACCCAGGAATTCTCTGCTCACACTGACATTATAGTGGCACATTGGTAGCCAATGTTTACTTAACTCACAATTGACTATTTACACGAGATTTAAAATCTCAAAGCTGCTTACTAGGGACACATATTCCACTGGAAAGCAAGAAAAACAATCTTGTGATCCAAAAACAGTGCAAGAAATGAGCAGTGCAGCATTTCAAATCACAAATGGAAAATAATAAGCTTTTAAATTTTCTTGTCAAATGTACCTTTTTTATCTTCCCCATTAAAAATAGAGTAGAAAATACCTAAGCCACTAAAAAGCTATTCAGAACCCTGCATCACAGGGATGTTATTAGTGAATCAAACTTGACCTGTGCAAAGAGAAATTACTTCAGGCTATTGTGAGATCTCCAGAGTCCACAGCCTGCCCAGTTTCTCCACCTGCCTTGCTTTGTTTACATCAAATACAACTTAGGTCAAAGCTTGGCAAGGCTAAAAATATTAAGCTCATATTTTTACTAGTTATAAATACAGAAAATCTTGATAAGGAAGCATTACCCCACCTTTAATGCCTGTTCCTTAAAGAATTGCAGAGCATAAGCAAATATCTCAAGTGCTTTGACTTTTTTGCCATTTGCAGCTGTCAGGTCTGTCTCCATGGTAAGATTCTACATGAAAGAAAACAACTGGAAGTTATTAAAAGAAAAAGGAAAACATCAAATTAATTCCCACTGCTTGAGGACAGCGAACTCTTCATTATTCACCTGATTAGGAAAAAGTGACAAAACTATTCTGAAGAGGATTTAACTCATCACTTGAATTTCCTGGAGCATGACACTTTGCTGCTTATTTTAGACTTTGTTTTTCAACACTTATCATGCCTACAGATAACTGCAGGCAGAGAAAGAAATATGGACTAAATATTACACAACTGCAATAGATACATCTGTAAATAACTGCAATAAAATTGCATATGCAAGATACTTAATCCAAGTTAAAAGTACAGATTTTTGGTTTCCCACAAACAGATTAAATCAGAAAACACCTCAAAACAGAAAGTACTGGCCAATTCCCAAGGCTCTAAGATGGATTAAAGACAAAAACACAGTCAGGAGGAATAATGTCAAATTAACAGCCTTACTGCCACTTGCAGATCTAATAACAAATTCTGGGTGAATTTGCTTGGCTGATCTAGAGCTCAGTCTGGCTCTTGTATCCCATTTCTGCTGACCAGATTTATTGAACAAACTAACCTCATGCAGTCTCCCCTGACAGGACATGAAGATCTAAGCAAAGCAGACACTGAACCTTTAAGATCTACAAGGAAAGCTGGCAAGATACAGTCGCCAAATGCAGTGAGAAACTAAAGGAATCATAATGCTAACTGAAGAGTTTAATTTACTCAGTTTACTCTCTAAACACAGAGATGCTTCACTTCTACTTGACAAAAATTGAGTAGTGTTCAAGGGAAAACAATTTGAATAGCAAACAGTTTGGGTGTTACTTACACCAGTGGTATGCAGCTTCATCTTAAACTTTTCAAAATACAGCCAGTGCTTTGATTCAGTGGGATCCAAGTCATGGTAGAAGTCTCTTGCTGCATAGCCAAAGCTATGGAACTTTCTCTCTGGTGTTAGCAGGATGGTGGTTGGGGTCTTCTGGTTGGAAACACCCGGATCTCCACCTTCCCATCGCCTGGCCAAAAAGTGAAACAGCTCCAGTAAGTGATGCTCCAGGTTAGAGCAGCAGGAAAAAACAAGTGTATCATGAGAAAAAGCCATGCAGTGGCAAATTGCACAGATTGCTCTTCCCTTCAAAGACAGTAATTTCAAACCTTATAATACCAAAATCAAGCGGTTTTATTCCCACCTAAGAAAAAAGGAGTGCATTTTTCATTTCAGGTAATTCAACACATTTTTGTGGTTATGTATAATTCTTAAGCATATAAGATAAGGTAAGAACACAGGTTCCCAGAACTAAGCCATACACAATTAAGGAAACAGTTTTGTACTTAAAATTTCTACCTAAGCCAACACATGTAATAAACATTGCAGAGAAAAAAAAATCAGTAATTATCCAAGAACACTACTAATAAAACTCCAAATATGGCCTTTCCAATTGTGATTCAGACTTCAAGAATGGTTAATTGCAATGGATATTTCTCCCATTTTAAATTCCCTTAAACAGGGACCTGCTTAAGTCATTTAACTTCACCAGGGGAAGGTTGATTATATCCCCATTTCTCTCCCAGAATATTCCCTGAAACAAGACAAGCCAGTTCAACCAACATCTGATCATGTGCTTCATTTCCTAGACATCTAAAACTCTGAAAGCATCCATGCCTGCAGATACTGAGCTCTCTGCACTGCACTTCATACTCATGTGAAGTTGATGGATTTTATGTTTCAAACACCCAAAATGCTGTACAAGTTTTAAACTATCAAAAATGAAGCAGGATCTTGAGGATCTCCAAGGATCTTAAAGGCAACAAAATATTTCTGTCACTACTGGTGAATAAAACTATCCTGTCTCATGAAAATTGTGAAAGTATCTTTGGGGATACCCATACTAAGACAAAAGTAAACTCAAAGCCGCTTTCACAGAACGGATAAGGAAATAAATAAGGAAATAAATAAGAACATTGAATATGGGAACACCCAGCAGCAGGAACTGAAGGGAGGTATTGCAGGACAAAAAGGTCAGACAGTAGAAAGTTGTAGAATCAGCTGTGAGCATTGCTTCTCCATCACAAAAAAAAAAGGCAGAATGAAAGAAACTCACATTACTGTTCCTCCCCCCAGCATATACAAGTACTTTCTGATGAGAAGCAAACATTTACCAGAAAATAATTTCTTAAAAAGGCATCAGTGGAAAATCTGTTTATGCTCTCAGCCATAATCATAACACAGCTCAAACAGGAGCCAAGATCACACAGGCAACCACATTCATTATTAAACTACATGTCAATTGCTTTTTCTAAAGATAGCAAAACGTACTTTCAGAACATCCTCTTGCCAAAGCCCTCGTTCTGAAGTATAAAAAGTCTGCCTTGCTCTGTGGTAGCTGTTTATGTGACATAGGAAGAGTATGTAGAAAAAATAATTTCCATTTCACCCTCAGAAACAGTTGAATCCATTGAAAATTACTTGACCTCCAGACCAAGGCAGAAAACTGACATGGCAAACTGCAATTTAAGGGGTTAGTAATTGGCAAAGTAACAAGGAATGGGATCTTCTGAAGGGCTGGGACCATTCAACTGGATCAAACAGAGCAGTTTTATCTCTCTTTTTAGCTCAGGTAGCAGAAAATAACATGTCTGAACTTCTTTCAATGCAGAGGACAATTCCACTGCCCTGAAAGCAGAAACAGCATGATGAGGAGTGGAATGATTTCCACATTCATCCACTCAAAAAAACTTCCCCAAGTCCACTTAGCTGAGCCCCCGAGCCACGACCAGCTGGCACGGGCTCTGCTCCAGACCATTTCTCCTAACCTGCTGCTAGAAATGCACTTGGTCAACTCCAAAATCTTTAAGTAGGTGTTACAGCAAACATATGGTTCCAATGTGAAGAAGCTGGGATCTCACAGCTCGTGAACAGAAAACACTGCTATTCCAGCAGATTGTTAAATCCCACTCACCCGCTGCAGAGAGGAGACAGACTGATCCCGTTTTTGCTTGGAATCATGAATGATTCATTCTGAGTCACTGGTGGGAAATGCCATAAATAGGCTGTGGCTAATAACAATGCTTCTTTGTTTTTCATTATGGCCAAGCACATTTTCTCTTTCCAGAATAAGCACGCTTAAGGTGCAGCTTAAATGAAGACAAATTTACGTTCAATGCCACGGGATGAAATTTTCAAAGCCACCTGGAGAAGTGGATGTTTGCTTCCTGATGAGTTTCTGATGGAAACTGGACACGGGAATTGCTCAGCACATTCCACAGCCCTCAGCTTGTGTTACTGCTCAGTCACAGAAAGGACAGCAAGGAAAGGCAAGGGGAAACACGACTTTACCACCTGCAATCAGAGATTTAGAAATACTCCCCTGTGATGCTTTTCTAGAGAGAAGCAGATGCAAAAGCATGAGCATGGTTAACTCCTGGCTGCAACACTCCTGCCAGGTGGAGCCCTGGCCTCACTCCAGTTGCAGAAGGAGTTTAGTCAGTAGGACTAGGACTGCAACACTTTCGTTTGCAGTTCCCTTTCATGGTACCAAAAAAGGCAAAATCATGGTAAAAATTAGGAAAAATAAAAATAAAAAGGAAATGGCTATCAAAAACATTAATCTGTACAAGCCTGAATTGCTCTAAATATATGTGGGGGATATTTTTGCAGTGCAGAATCACACTTAAAAAAACTATTCAAAGAGAACCAAGGTAGATTTCTTTCAAATGCAGACATATGGCAGAGTATCTGAACACAAAACTAAACAATTTAAACCTGTTTATAGCCACAGAGCTAACTGTACACTAGAAGCGAAAATAGAGACAGAATCAGTGAGGAAAGCAGCATGAGGTCATACAAGACTTAGAGAAATGCCTTTACTTGCACTTCAGTCTGGCTGAGAAAGACCAAACAGGGACTTGTGCAGAGTGATGAGAATTTGAGCCAGAGCTGCAGCACCACAGTCAAGGAAATGAAACACTGGGGTCATCAAAATGCAGCTGAATGCCACCAGCAGTGTGCATGCAGAAAAAAGGCAGGTGTGTGCCTCCCAATAACTACAGTCAAACAGGGAAGAGAGGGAAAGGGGAAAAACCTCAATGCTGAAGCTGCACTGAAAAGAGACCACATTGTCCAAAGACAGACTGCCATTTGTTTCATAGCCACATGCATTTCTTCATTTATTCTTCTCCATTTGTGAAATACTCTCAATTCAGCTATCCAGCCAGTAGCCAAAACATCTGTAACTTCATGTAAATGCATATATCAAGAGCAGTTTTTCAGAACCGTGTAATATCTCATGTATTTCCTCCAAATGAGATGTTATTAACTCGTTCTACAGCAGGAAGTTTTCCATGTGGCTCTGGCACTGCCCTGCTCACCGAAGTGCTGAGCTCATGGCCAGGCAGCTCAGATGCCTTTCCTCCAGTCTCAAGTTATGCTGCAAACAGCACTCACTGTAACACATTCACCTGCAAAAAGAACCTGAACCACAGCTGCCTGAAACAGAAGCTGGGGAAACTACCCAGACTTGTCAGTACCACCTAGAACTGATAAAACAGTAACCAGTGTTTTGAAGTCATTCACTGAACATTTACAAACCCACACCCAACTTCAAACATGCTGAGATGAGCGAGGCCACTCATACATTTAAAGATAAATATATGCTGAAAGAACTTTGTTCAGTCAATGCGTCAAACTCGGTTGTTTTTTTTTTTTAGCATTGGGCATGACAGCAAATAAACACACAGTCAAAAATGTGACTTTGTTTACCTCCTAATTACACATCAAGAATCATGGCACTGCTGGCATTACACTCAAACCTGGTGCTAAAGCCCTGTGTGTTCACTCTTTTCCAAAGTAGGACCTTCTGAATAAACCCATCTTACCCTTTTAGAGAAAAGCAGCTTTGTTAAAAGGCAGTCAGAAATCTAAGTATCTGGAAAGAATCAACACTAAAGGAGGGAAGGTGGAAAAAAATGTTAGGAAGTAGAGAGGACCATGCATCACTGGTATCCTTTATTTTAATGTAAACATTCTCGAGTGCTGGCGGGAAGCTACATTTACTCTGCTGAAATATTTGTAAGTTATCCTACATGTAAGCCTCATTATATACAGCCCTTAATACCTCCTGAACTACTGCAGACTTACCTTAATAAATATACCATTCATTTGATTGAATTTCATGATTTTATGAGTACTAATATATAAATACATATAAAAATATTACATATATTACTTTGTAAGATCATTTCAATTGTGTCTTGCCAAAATCCTTCCCAGATAGAAATATCTATTTAAGAAATAATAAAATAATTCTTGGTATTAAAATTTGCCATTGTTTTAAGTACCTGTTGGAAATACGAACACACCCCCCCCCCAAAAAAAAAGTTCCTTCCCTCTGGTTGGAAACACATGAAGTAATTTATTTAATTTCATCAACATCAGTATCTCATATCATAGCTATGCAGCTCTGAAATCACAGTCATGCTGCCATTACTGCATAAGGAGGAAAATGTCACGTTTTGAACCACAAATAGCAAAATCTCAATTGAGATTCGGAATCAGCACCTGGATTTCAATATCCCAGTGACTGACAGCAGGAAGCCTGGTAAGGAGAAGGGATTTCCCCAGGGAAGGAGATTCTAATCCATATTGTGAATACAGCAAAAAAACCATATCCTAAGGTCCTTCTGAGCCCAAGACTCAAGAACTTCAAGAGCTTCCTCAGAACAGCAGTGATTCCACACAGCAAAATCTCCAGCATTTACAGGAACATAGATTTGTTCAAACACAATTTTGGTCTGCTCAGATACAGCTTCAGAAATGTGTTCCCTCATTCCATCAAATTTCTTTAAGAACTTTAATTAATTACTTTCTGCCAAAGAGAACAGGAATTGATAAATATGTGTTCCAGTTTCCCCACCCTGAGAGCTGTCCAAGGCAGCAACACAGGGTGTGTCCTTTGACTTCAGCCTTTTGTGTGTGCTGCTCAGAGAACAGAGATGGCTGAAATGCAGAAAAGACCTGAAAAGCATCACTTGTCCATCCTGCAAATATCACATATCTTTGCAACTGGATGGTAAAGATATAGAATACCATTTCTAAATTTGCCTTCCTTTAGGCAGTATTTTAAATCCCTGAGCTGCATTAGTTTGCAGCCATACACAAACCAACTATGCAGCCTGACTGCACAATCAATAGTGTCTGCTAAAGATTTAGGGAGCTGCATTCAGCTACCACCTTTGCTTAGAAAAAATGCAGTATATCACACTGGACTGCAGCAAATTAGGCTATCTGACCTTTTGTTCTCAGCATTACAGCAAAGTACCTACTTCTGCAACAGCAGCATTGTTTAGAAGAACATCTATGGCTGAGCTTTTCATATATACTTTTTTATGTCTAAAGTTATCTATATCTTGCTCTCATTTACAATACAGTAATTTTAAATTTACTACAACAAGAATTAAACGTGTTTGAAGTTATAAATAACTTTTTTTAAAAATAGCATAAAATATTATAGCAATGGTTTTTAGGGAAAACCTTTCAAGTAGCTGCCATAATAGTTTTTGCATTTGTGATTGCATATTTTTATACTGTGCTGATTTAATAAAACAATAAAAAAAACCCCAAATAAACTCCCTACATCACAGCATCTTAAGTCTGTCCTTTCCATACATATAACAAAGAGAGATTTCACCACAAACCTTCATTTTCACATTCATACCTTTTGATTGCTTATTTCCCAATGTCAATGGATCATTAGCATAGATTTGATTCAGATTTAATACCACAAAGCTTACATCAGCCAAACTCACTCCCAGTGCAAGTAAGCAGGTGTGGTAAACCCAACTATACACAGTGAGATTCCAGGGGATGGGCACCTCATGGATGCCATGACCCTTAGGAAATGAGTCTCTGAGATAAGGGCATCCTGACTTACTTATTAACTCTGCTCCCTGAACAATTCTGAATACTCAGATTCCTCCTTCTACTCTGTCATCTTGTAAACTCAGCAAAATAAGAAAGGGGATGTGCTCCCACTGACTACTAAAGCAAATCAGAACACAATAAGATGCAACAAAAAGTCATAACCATGAGAAATCTGCACACTGTGGTAATGCCTGACAAATCCAGACACTTCAGGCTCCTGTAGAAAATATCTTTGGCTACTGCAGGCAGCCCATGGTATCAGAGTCACAAACTAAATGCTGCATTGCAGCCCTTACCTCATTACATGAATACATTCTGGCTCCTTGGTGAAGCTGTAGGCGTAGCCACTGGATGTTGTGCCAAAATCAATAGCCACAACAACAAGAAATAACTGTTCCACAGCATCATCTGCATCAGAGTCCTTCTGTTAAACAGCAGAAGCAAAACGGACACCAAGTCACTGAGCAGGATCATCGTAACCTGTCACAAGTTTTGCTCTGCAAGACCTGCATATCTCTTCAGTGAAAATGAGGACTTACCTAAATTTGCCCTTGGGACCAAAATTAATACCAAGAAAGCTACAAATTCCAATGGAATTGTGGAAATTCAATACATGACTCGACATATATGCTAGAGCCTTTTATACATAATTTTCTATTCAAAGCTTCCTTCACACTCATTTTTTGAATGCTTCTGATTAAATACTTCCTGTATTATTAATATAGTATTAAATAAATTAATAATAAAAGCATTTAATAATACTTCCTGTATTATTAAAACTTAAGGGTATGGGGCTGGTTTGGTTGTTTTTCTTAAACTGATCAACTGAAGAATTTGTCCATAAATGTGATGTATTTGGGACTTGGTGGTTTTAGGAGTTAACTATATCATAAGCATGCAGTGTATGTCTTACCACAATGTGTGATGGAGACAGTGGAGTTATTCCAGGGTCTCCCAAGCTTTTGGCTGGTGATGAGTAAGCAGATGTGGAAACTGCATCTAAAAGGAAACAAACACCCATCAGTGTCAGCAGGCAGAATGAGTAAATGCAACAGCTACTTTGCATACTGCTAAACTGTTTTCCAGTTGTAAAGAATCTGCTAAAACACAAAGCAAATTCCACAGCTACCATCTAAAACATGTTTTGCCTTTAAAACATGCTAAGACACAACTGCTGTTTTAGTTTTACAATGTCTGTCTGACCATCATCACTATTACCATTCTTTTATTACATTGTCATGTACAGTCTTAAAAGTCTTCCTGAACAAATTCAAAAATCATAGCTGGTACAAGCAGCTTGATTACCACACACTGCCTAGGACTTAAATGTATGAATGCAGAAACTAAACACAAGCTGTGAGATCCAAACAGACAGACTCATTTACAGGAAAAAGAGGAGCTGACAGCAACTGCAGAAAGTAAGAAGAGTAAACTGCAATTCGTCCATCCTGAGCCTTTATTCTGAAACTTTCCCAATACTGTCTCTGTTTTTATCCTTCACTACACTCTGCACTGGAACATCCTGCAGCTGTTAATACTACTGCAGGACAGAATCCAGCTGGGAAAAAGGAAAGCATTATTAACAAGTCATCAAAGAAATATTTCTACCCGGCATACAATACGAAAACTTCATTTAAAGGCACAGACCAAATACAGTAATGCACTAATTTTATTTTTCATTCTTTCATTTACATTGCTGATGATAGAAAAGGAAATGGCTTAAAACAATTAAGCACTGATGGCTTAGATGGATTTTTATATAATCTGTACTCTTAAGAAGAATGCAATAGTTTATCAAAGTAGAATGTAGAAAAGGTACCATGCATCCTGCCCTTGCTCATAACCCTCTGCTCCAAAATTTAAGCCCTAAGTGCTTACTGATTTCCACAGAATACAAACTATAATTAGATGTAAAGCAGAATAATGTAATAGGCCTCTGAACATTAATAATAATAATTAAATAATAAAGAATACATTTCAACGGATTTTTATCATCTACTTGGATGCATCATACATTTATTCATGGCATGTAATTCCTAGACATGACTGACAATTCAGAGCATCACTCCAAGATGACACGGGAGCTCCTCTCCAAGACCCCAGAATTATTTAGGGAAGAATGGTAATCAAGTATGTGTTGTTTCTCAGGGAAGATTCAAAAACCCCGCAGTGGGCAAGTAGGAGATAATTCGCCTGCAGGGAAAAAAATCTTCCTCCAAATCTTAATTTTGCTCTTGAAACTTAATTTTCTTCTTGAAGTTAAAACACGCATGTTCAGCCTGATTTTCAGAAGCATTTGCAGAAGCACAGTATTTGCATTTTCTACACAAGTTCTCCAGGAATATATTAAGTGACTCCTCTTGCAGTGAAGTACAAAAAGTCACAGGCCAAATGAGACAAGCACAGAATCTGTTCGGTTCATTAAGACATCTTTGGAACAGATGCTGTTATCAGCCTCCTTTGTGCCATTTTTACCTCTTAATTTTTACACCAGCAACATGCCAATTATTTTAGAATTGAAAACCAGTATTTCAGCACAGAAAAAAAGAAATAAAATAACTAACAAAATATATCCCTTGCATCCTGCTGTAATTTCCTGAGCAGAGCAGGACACTGCAATACTGACTCAACATCTTGGGAGACCTGCACTTTACCCACACTCAGGATGCTGGTATGAAGCACAAAATATAGAAGACATCAAACCACGTGTTTTCAGTGTTTCACTGTGCCACTGATTGTTGTCGTTACCTGTTTCTGCACTCATGATTCTGAGATGTGCTGGGGCAGGTCCAGAGGAGGCCACAGAGATGAGCAGAGGGCTGGAGCACCTCAGCTATGGAGACAGGCTGGGAGAGGAGGCTCCAGGGAGACCTCAGAGCACCTTCCAGTACCTAAAGGGGGCCTGGAAAAGAGTCAGAGAGGGACATTTTACAAGGACATGCAATGACAGGACAAAGGGTAAGGGCTTTAAAATGAAAAAGGGCAGATTTCCATTAGACATCAGGATGAAATTCTTTACTGTGACAGTGGAGATGCACGGGCACAGGTTGTCCACTCCTGCAAGTACTCAAAGCCAGTCTGGACAGGGCTTGGAGCAACCTGGGACAGTGGAAAGCATCCCTGCCCATTGCAGGGGGTTGGAATAAGATGATCTTCGAGGTTCTTTTTCCAACTCCCCTGAATTATTCTGTGCTTCTAAGATGCATTTTCCAACCTGTCTTTAGCTATCAGCCTTGAAAAGTTATTTTTATCTCTGTGTGCAACTCAGAAAATTCTGTGTGACAGGATACACATTTTTCTATCTCAGAGAGCAGTGAATAAATATCCAGAGCAGTAAGGACATCCATCCAATGAAACCACTAGTTTGGCTGGTGTCCTACCAAGAATTGATTCAAGATAATTAATAAAAAAGACCCTTCCAAACCCATGTACTTCCTGCACTGCCTTCATGGCTCCTCCTGCAAATACCCAGCTAAATAAAATAATTCTACAATGCATCCTGGATCTAATGCCAAAACTTCTCAACAGGTAGTGAAATGACTGTTAAAAGCAAATGAAATTAGGATATTTGTAACATTATACTATCTACCCCATCTCAACTGCAAGGTGTTAAAATATATTTGTCTATGTGGGAGCTTTTGTATTTTGTTGAATTAGTGTTTCCATGGTGAAAAAAATGTGCATGTTTAACAATTTTTACAGCTGTGTTCTGGAGAGCAGTAAAGGCGTGGATATTCCAGGATATTTAAAAATCCCTTATCTCTAAAGCACTGTGATTGGTTGGTCTGACAGAAACAAAAGCATCTGTCCCAAGCCAGAGAATGGGAAAAGGGTTGCCAGGAACCTGATTTGCAATCACAAAACTGAAAAATGATGCCTAGAGTGTCCTGGATAGGATCAGGGTATTTGGAACAGTTCTTAAAAGCAGAATGACTTGTTATGACTTCTGCAACCAAAAACCATAATAAAGTAATGTTCTACATAGCTCAAGTTCCAGCTTTATCTCCATGTTTACTAATGATCTTTATCTCTGTCAAACTACATGCTATGACTAAAATACAGCTAAATAGCATGCACTAAATAAACACTTAAAATGTTGCCAATTTACACACCAAATTAAATTGAGGAATCTGATTTAGAATCCAAATTAAGTAAGTCCTCAAACAAACCAGTATTTAAAATAATCTTACTCTAAATATGATGCAAACTTCTTGACTAAAAAGTCTTACATTTACTTCTGATATGAATATTAACCTTGGAATATGGTTTGGGTAATTTCAATAAATGTGTCTAGACTAAATTTGAACACATTAAGATTTCTGACTTTAGTCCTATCCTAAGCAATTGGCAAAGAACACCTTGTACATTTTTAAGGTGATCAGAAGTTGAAAGGAAAAAAAATAAGGCTCCCATTTTCAGGCAGATTCCTAAACCATTACAGAATTGGTAAAATTGAGATCGTAAGATATTGTATTAATAATGAAATCATGTCCATTATCACATTAGCTCCAATTGCTGGTTTAGCAGACTTAATTTAAATTAATCCTTCTTTTCATCTAAACAGATGCAAGAGTTTATTTTCTGTGGTTTCCTGAAATGCCTAATCTGTTTAGCTCTTTCAGTTTTTCAGTAAATGATCAGCAACATTGTAGATTTTGACAAAATGCAATGAAGGATTAACCTTTAAGTGTCAAAGAATGCAGACTAAAAGCAAAGTCCAGAACATTTATAAAAACTTTGCCGATGCAGTGTGAATATTTCACTGATTGCATGTTCAGCTGAATCTGATTTTCTGACAGATCTGGAGAGCAGGACCAAACTCATTATTTAATTAGAAAGATCAGTTAATGGCAGCTGGAAGGCCATCAGTCTGTTCTGAGTATTTGAAAGCCCCTGCCACACATTCCCATTCAGGACTGGATAGATGAACTTTAGGGAACTACTAAAAAAAACAAATAAAATCCCAAATAATCAGTTTCAAGCCAGCAGGTTAAAGAAGGGTGACTGCTTCAGTCACAGGCAACTATGGTGGTACTCAACCCAGAAAGAATTCAGCAGTCACACAAAATCTTCTATTTTCTATTCAGTATTTCATCTGTATACAATTCAGCTACATAAGGCATCAGTAAAATTTTCTGCTTCACGTGTTATGGAACTTGTTCATTTCCCCAGTGAAGCAGATGCCAGAACAGTGGATTCTGTCTAAAAGAAGGTTCCCTGCAACCCAGGTGCCATAAACAATGGATTACCTAAAGTGGGCTTTGTCACCAGGTAGAATTTAACAGGACAAGTGAATCAGGAACCTAGGAATTGGTGTGGGGCTCTGCAGAAATGCCCAGAAATGCTGACACACCAGGGAAGAGGGGACATTTCTGAACGTGCCTTGTGTCACCCAATTCTGTGTATGGAAAAGAAACAACTTTTTAAAAAAGAAGAAATAAGAACTCAAGCCCCTGGTCTGCCATCAGAAACCATTTCAGGCACATTCTGCACTACTTTATAGAGTGATGGCTCCAAAAGCAAAGGCTTCACCAGAGAAGTTGCACTTCCCAAACCTTCTCAGACCTCACTCCCAGGTGACTGGATCTCTCTCCTACAGCTGTTTCACAAACCAAAGAACAAGCAAAGGAGCATCACTATGATATCACCTCTGTAAGAACATGCCTAAACACCAGTGTGTGTTATAACCCAATCAACACAAGTTAATTTATATTTCTATCCTGACAGAGTGACCATAAACCCAACAGGAACTCTTCCCACAGGATCATTCCCCATTTCAGATCACAGTTCCAGCATTTTAATGAGTGCTTTCACAACAAAGACACCAGTAGGTCCCAGCACAGCCTTTTCCAGGCTCTCCCAAACTCCCAGCTGAGAGTGGCTGCAGGACACCACCCTGGCTCAAAAGCAAAGCTGCAATAACTCTTTTTGATTTGTGTAATGGACAACCACTGCTCCAAATCCCAAATCATCCCAGTGCTCAGCTATTTGTAGGCTGCTGAACCAGGTACACAGGGGAAGTTGGGATGCATTAGACCGACTAAAAATGTCACTACTGCAGCTGATCTTTGTGGCTCCAATAAATCCATGTTAACTGAACTCACCATGAACACACTGAACATGTCACAAATCAAACACTGGCACGTATCTCATGGCCATTTCTCTGGAATTTCCAGCCATCCAGCACATGGTAAAGGTCACATTTATATGTGCTATTTGTATACGCACTGCTCTGCTCTCAGTCAGGTTGCCAGTAATACCAAAATCTTAGCCAAATTCTTTCTTTCCCATTCAGGCACTATATCTGGATTTAAAATTAAGGAAAAAAAAGGGAAAAATAAGAATGTACCAAACCAAACATTGGTATAGAGTAGCCCACAGGCAACAAAATAATTGAATAAACCCATTATTTTTCATTTAAAAGATTATAATCTTTTGAGCATCAAAATAATTTTAATCCAAGCAGACCTTCCTAATGACATTTGCACAAGAAAAGAAAGGTTTACTATATTGCTATTAGCTGGCAACTACTTCACTGATGAAGAAAACCTTATTCAGCTTTTCCTATTGCTGAGATTTTCCTCTGCATTAAGCACAAAATGTCAGAGCTTCCAAATGTAATGTGACAACCTAGAGCATTTTACTGTCAATACAAAGATGGCCTTTTAAAACAATTACAGAACAATAAAAAAAGAGATGGAGAGAAGGAAATAAAATCTTAAAATATTCTTATGCATAATAAAAAAACCCCCATATTTCATATCCGAAGTAAGAACCTTCTGTTCCTACTGAAAGCAATGGCACCATTGTTATGACCATCAATGGAATTACAGTTCTTTGTTTTAAAATGCCAGTAGGCTTCCAGCTGGTTTGCTGAAGACTGCAATACACTTCTCTTCCATGAATACAGCCACAGCTAATCTCTGATACAAATCCAAGTTTCCTGATACCATTTCATAATATCTAGTCCCCCAAAGAACTGGAATCCATTGCACTGATACAAATTAGAGCAAAAGGATTTCCTAAGTAAAAAGAAAAATCTCCCAATACTTTGCATTGAATTCTATAAATAAGACATGTTTGTCATTACAACTATGACCTTTTCCATTTATTGCTTTTATATTGTCTCCCATCACGATTATGCTTTGACTAGAAGAATTGCATTTTTACTACACTATGAATGCTTTCTAAGGTAATTTTAAGGTTTTACCATTATTGTTAAGAGTGTCAAAAGCAACCCCAGCTTCATCCCATCACACTCTGTGGACAATACTCATTTTCCTGAGCCTCAGCAGCAAAGGGAGAGCAAAAGACACCACCAGTTCTCTGTGAACTTAATTTGAGATAAAAGAAACACGCACAAACTCCCAATAACCTTCTGAAAATGCCACAAGGGTTATGTTCACTCCTCCATTTCACAGGACATTGGCTAAACTACTTTACCTAAAACTGATCTCACCTCCCTAACGCTTGGTAAGATGGACTAAAGCGGAACAAACACACTCACTGGGTCTGTAATGCCCCAGCAAATCCTCACCAACAGCTAAGGCTGCCCTTAAGCTGCCTTCAACTCAAACCCTTTCACCATCTACACCATAAGGTCTCAAATCCAGCTCCACCCTGAATGACCTGAGCGTTTCCCAGCTTCTGTGATCAGCCAGCTCCTTTTTCCCTCCCATTTCCTTCCCCACCCTCTGATGGGATTCCAATGTGCTCAAAACCTGCTCATGCACCAGCCCTGCAGTGATGCTTCTCTTCCCACATCCCAGCTCTTCCACAGCCATGCAGTACTGCCAGGAGAGACAACTCTGATCCTGGTTTACCTGCAGCACAAGGCAGGCTACATGTTGTGATAAAGGTGGGTTAACAGATTTGGCAGCTCAGAGTGGTAGAAGACCATTCTCCATGATCTCCCTAAACATTCCCCTGACACAGTTGTGTAAGAGACACCTTCAGTGGACACAGTTGTGTAAGAGACACCTTCAGTGCACACTAAATATACTTCTTTTCCTTCAACAAGCTCTTCTTTGAACTTGCTTCCTTAACACTTCCTTGCACTATTTGCCTCTGAGCAAATGCCTCCCTGTATCTCTCACCTCCTCCCTCGTTGCTTCCAGGAACACGTAAGGAACCAAAAACAAACCACAAGATGTACAGAACTTAGGTGAAAAGATACCTTCCTGGAAAAGGCTTCCTGCTGCTTCTCCTTCATCATCATGTCTGTCCTCATCTACCTCCTCTACCTGGTTCACTGCAAGGTTGTCAGCAATGGCACTACTATGATTATGCTCTAATTCCCAGGACCATACTCATAAAACAGATCATTTGTGATGTTAATCACTCTGAGAGAAACAGCATTTTCCAGCTCAACTGGAATGGTTCACTGCTTTTTCTTTTTATAAAACAACATCAAAATATTACAGTTATAAACCTGTTTTGCTACAAGTTTCTATTTAAGAACCATGTCAAGATGCAATTGTATCCTGAAAAGAATGCAATCCTACCTTTCTCAGTCAAGATATTCAAAGAATCAGTGTTCAGCTTTTCAGATTGTGCATCCAGCACACAGGAATAAGAGCATTTTGGAGGGCATTTGTTCACTTAGAAGGCAAAAAGGTTATTTAGTTTTCAAGCATTCCTAGATTCAAACAGTATCTCGCAATGCATCAAGCTGGATGAATGTAGTGACACCTTTTTCTTAAAACATGAATGGGAAAAAAATTTGAATATGTTTGTCTTCACTTTGACAATCTTCTGGAAGGCTTAACATGATTCACACATTTACAGAGTCTTGACAAGAGAAAACCAACCAGTCTCATCAATTCACAGTAAAAAAAAAAAAAAGCATAAGCAGGGGACAGGGTAGAAAGAAAGAAAAGCTAAACTAGAATAGCCATTACTTATAGCAGTCAGCAAAGTGATGCTGTATGTAAATCCCTTCATATTCTTCAACGCTATTAAACCCAATTGTGTTCAAAGATGGAAAAATAAAATAGTAACTGTGACAAAATGTCAAATATAGGTATCACATTTGAAAAGTCATTAGCAAAGTCATCTATGAAAACATAGTCTATGGCTATTGGTTTAGCTTCTGAGCAATATTTCATTACTACATGAAAAAACAGATTTTCTTTCTTTTTATTTAATGGTCTTGAAAACACATAGTCACCAGTCTTAAAGAAAAGCTTAAAGAAAAAATACCTT